ACATTGTCATATCTATAGTAAATATTTTCCCAATTGGTTATTTGCATTCTATTTTGCTATGTTGTATTTTTTACAACAGCTTTACCTACCATACAATTCAACCATTTAAAGTGTATAACTCAATAGTTTTTAGTATACTAACAGAGTTGTGCAACCGTCACCACAATCAACTTTAAAACATTTCATCACAACAAAACGAAACTTAGGACCAGTCGGGGTGGCTCACGCCTGTAATCCTAGCACTGTGGGAGGCCGAGGTGGGAGGATTGGTTGAGCTCAGGAGTTCAAGATCAGCCTGAGCAAGAGCACGACCCCATTTCTTTTAAAAATAGAAAAATTAGCCGGGCATGGTGGCACGCTCCTGTAGTCCCAGCTACTCGGGATGCTGAGGCAGGAGAATAGCTTGAGCCCAGGAGTTTGAGGTTGTAGTGAGCTATGATAATGATACTGCACTCTAGCCCAGGCGACAGAGTAAGACTCGGTCTCAAAAGAAAAAAAAATCTAAGAACAAGATCCTTCCTTTATAAGGTGCTTTATATAAGTATCCACAAAATAAATTTTAATAAGGAAGATAAATTTAAATTCTGGGTACTCACACTTAACATTCTAAATGAGTCCTGTTGTATTTTATTATTTGTAAAAGAAAAAAAACTTTTGAATAAGTCCAGTCTATCCCACCTATTCCTGCTTCTGTTGCTGGTACCAGAAAACTTTCAGGAATGTTCACTTGGTATCTTTTATCCCCAGCATTTAAAATCATGCTGCTGAATTAGGGATACTGGAAATAATCGGCCATGGTCATGTATAAGCTCTGTGTTCATCAGTAAGTATTTATTGAGTACTCAGGCACTGTTCAAGAAAGTTTGATGATGCACAAGAGATAAGCAAGATTTCTGCTCTCACTGAAGCTTAGTTTTTGAGTACATAGTATGTCCCCAATAAATGCTTACTGATTGACAGAGGTTCTAGTCTCCTGCTTTCATATAACTGAAGAATCACTAACCCAAGCAGCTGTATCGAGGTCATTCTTGAGATAATCCTCCCTATCTGGGCCACTCAGAACAAACAGTTCTATAAAACTAACAACCCCAGGGAACATAGGTGAGTCACCCAAATCAGAAACGGTTGTTAAAAACCATTTATTTACAAATCTGGGAAAATGCAACTTTAAAGTCCTCTCTGCTTACTTTTCCATTACTCTTCTTTCTCCTCTTCCATTTCTTCTTTTTTCTTTCTTTATCATCTTCTTCATGTCTCTAAAAAAATATTTTTCTTTCATTCCTGTTTCCCTATGTTTTCCTAGTGTTATTCTTTTCCTTCAGTCTCTTTATCAAAATATACACATTGCACAAGGCTACCCTGCTCACACATGTGCTTCCTTCACTATGTAAGCCCCAGTCCACCTGCTGCTACCAAAATATATTTTACTCTGTGAAGTCTACAGTGCATTTTATACATTTTAAAGTATGTTTTGTAATTTTAGAAATTCTAGAAATTTCAAACATTAGTGTCTATTTAAAAGATTCACTAAATAATACTCAATTTCTGCTTACAAGTTTTGTTTATAGATATAGGTATTAAGGGAACAAATTTTATTTCTAATACCATATTGACACATTCTGTGAATTCAAACATATACTACTGTCATTTAAGTTTTCACATTCAAATTTCAGATGACTAGACATAAGCATAATGGCATTTTTCACACTTAAATATCTTTTTTTTCCAAATTTCCATTTCACCATTTCTATTTGCTAGGGAATAAAGGTGAATTTCAGTTACCTAAGCATGATAAAATGGAAATAGCATTCGTATATGAACAATTTCAAGACCTGCTAATATTTCTGTCATTTGACAGCAAACATTCAGAACTCCACTCTGGCCTTCACAGAGTTTCAGTTTTTCAAGATGAAAAAGTTCTGTAGATTGGTTGCAAAACAATGGGAATATATAAGACAATACTGAATTGTACACTTAAAAGTGGTTAATATGGTAAATTTTATGTCCTGTGTATTTTACCCAATTAAAGATTTTTTAAAATAATAATTTAAAAATTCTACTTTTCAACAACCCCATCCAATAGGATATGTCATTATCCCCATTTTAAACCTTGATAGCCTTGGCTGGGTGCGATGGGTCGTGCCTGTAATCCTGGCACTCTGGGAGGCCGAGGTGGGAGGATCATTTGAGCTCAGGAATTCGAGACCAGCCTGAGCAAGAGTGAGACCCTGTCTCTACTAAAAATAGAAAGAAATTAGCTGGACAAATAAAAATAGAAAAATAGACAAAATTAGCCAGGCATGGTCATGCATGCCTGTAGTCTCAGCTACTCGGGAGGCTGAGGCAGGAGGATCGCTTGAGCCCAGAAGTTTGAGGTTGCTGTGAGCTAGGCTGATGCCACGGCACTCTAGCCAGGGCAACAGAGAGAGACTCTGTCTCCAAAAAAAAATAAAAATAAAAATAAACCTTGGTAGCCTTTAACATAGTAGGCTCTTAGTAAATACTCATTGAGTTAATTTGTAAACTAAACCTTCCCTTTCTTTCCCTTTATGTCCCTGGTCAGAATGGGAGGCAATGTACCAAGTTTGAAAAGACTAGGATAAAGTCAAATGATGCTCATAATGAACAAACCCCCTGAGCAGGAATAGGTAACTTCTAGTGCAACTTCTCCTGCCACTAAGTGAAGCCTGAAGCACTTTTGGGGGCCCAAATACGTTACTAGCTAAGCCCTGGGTGCCAGAGGTATCTGTGCTTGGCCACAATAGACTAAAGACATTCCTAACTTGTGCTAGAGGATTTACAATGCCATGAGACATGTCATAACATGAATACTACAGTATCTGCTTAAAACAAGCAATCTTTTCTTTAATTGTTCCTTTTAAATCACTTTTCCCAATAATACCAAAGACTACAAGCCTATGAGAGTTTGATTTTTTTACTTTCTTTCTAGGCTTAAACAATTAATCAATTGATTCTTAGTCACCATTCAGTCAAGGCAGCTGGGTAAATATGTTTTACTTGAACAATTTTCAACTCACTAATGAAAATATATTAATACAGAATTTAAAACAAAAACTCACTAATGAAAATATATTAACATGAAAATATGTTAATACAGAATTTAAAACAAAAAAATTCTTCTCCTTCCTTGAAATCTAGACAGTGTCCAAATGTTCTTATTCTGTAATTCACACCCTCATATACCCCAAGGATGCTGAATGACCCACACTGAAAACACATTTGCTCTAAGGCTGGAAGGAGCTTACGGGTCATTCTCTCTCTTGGCCTGAGCCTGAGCAGGGAATGAGGTCACAGTTGTATGATGGAACAAACCCTTTATTGGATTCTTCATCTGATTGAAGCCCAGAAGTGGTAAGTAGCACAGCTTAAAAGTGGGTAAATATCAGGATTTTGTAGGATTCTATGCTGACTCATTTTTTGAAAATCTATAATCTATGAAAGATTGAAGGTATTTTTTTAAAATAATGATTATTTTTAACCACGAGGATGATTTCACAGCACCTTTCAAGTGCCTAAATTGTTGACTCTCTCCAGAGTTCCCAGCTCTGTGGTAGGATTCCAGATTTTGAGCACTTATAATTAAGTTGTTTAAAAAGAACTGCTTTTCATGCTCTGAGGTGAAGACCTGGGAAAAATTGATCCAGTTCTAACATTCAGGCCCGGCGTGGTGGCTCACGCCTGTAATACTAGCACTCTGGGAGGCCAAGGCGGGAGGATTGCTTAAGCTCAGGAGTTCGAGACCAGCCTGAGCAAGAGCGAGACCCCGTCTCTACTATAAATGAAAGAAATTAGCCAAACAACTAAAAATAGAAAAAAAATTAGCTGGGCACGGTGGCGTGTGCCTGTAGTCCCAGCTACTCGGGAGGCTGACGCAGGAGGATCGCTTGAGCCCAGGAGTTTGAGGTTGCTGTGAGCTAGGCTGACACC